CTGATAGTAACACACTTCCTATCTCAGTTGTAGGCGATCTATCACCAGATTTGCCTAATATTTTAGTCTCTCCAAATTTATCTACTAATCTTCTATCTGTTGGCCAACTTGTTGATAACAATTGCACTGTATCTTTTTCTGCTTCTGGTTGTTATGTGCAAGATCAGGTGTCCGGGAGGACGATCATGAGGGGGCCTAAGGAGGGGCGTTTCTTTCCTATTTCACCGAAGCCTGTTTCATCTTTTCCTATTTGTTGTAATTGTGGTCATAAGAAATTGGGACATCCCAATTCTAATGTGTTGCAACATTTATTAAATTCTGGTTTACTTGGTAATAAAAATTATGCTTCGGTTTCATCTGTCTCACTTGATTGTGCTTCATGTAAACTTGCTAAAAGTAAAGTTTTGCCATTCCCATCTCAAGGTTCTCATGCTTTGCATATTTTCGGTATTGTTCACATTGATGTATGGGGTATTGCACCTGTGGTGTCTTATGCTCACTATAAATACTTTGTTACGTTTATCGATGATTTTAGTCGATTCACATGGGTTTATTTTCTTCGCGCAAAAAGTGAGGTCTTTTCTGTCTTTCAAGCTTTCCTTGCTCTTATTGACAATCAATTTTCCTCCTCAATCAAAATCTTAAGATCTGATTCTGGAGGTGAATATATGTCAAATGCATTTCAATCTTTTTTACAATCCAAAGGTATTATCTCTCAGCGATCTTGTCCTTCTACTCCTCAACAAAACGGGGTAGCAGACGGAAAAATCGTCACCTTCTTGATATGGTTCGAGCTCTTCTGATTGATTCTTCTGTTCCATCTCGTTTTTGGTGTGAAGCATTAACTACCGCTGTGCATCTCATCAATCGGTTACCTTCTCCCACTCTTGAAAATATTTCTCCATTTTATAAACTCTTTGGTCATCATCCCACATATTCCCATTTGTGTCCCTTTGGCTGTGTGTGTTTTGTTCATTTACAATCTCATGAAAGGACTAAAGTCCCTTCTCAATGTGTCAGGTGTGCATTTTTAGGATATGGTGGAACCCAAAAAGGGTATATTTGTTATGATCCTACAACACAACGCATCCGTATTTCTTGAAATGTAGTTTTCTTTGAAAAACAATTATTCTTCAATTCCGAGGTTGTGGTTTCTCCCATGTTCTCCGTTTTACCTGATTTTCCTACAGAATTCTCGCGGTACAAGCTGGGGTATGTTTACTCTCGTATGGAGGTTGCACCAGCCACTGGTTTCTCAGACGACTACTCTCTCGAGCTCCCTAATCCTCCACTAACGACATCAGATCCTTCACCGGATGACCTGCCACTTTCTTTTCGTTGTACTTCTCGTGTGCCTCGACCGCCAGATACATATGGTTTTTCCTCCTATAGTTCTATGTCTGCTACACTTGCTTCGGTTTCCATTTGTTCCTCCTACAGACAGGCTATGGAGCAAGAGTGTTGGCGCCAGGCGATGAAAGCAGAACTTGAGGCTCTTGAGGCCAACCAAACTTGGAATGTTGTGCCTTGTCCGCGGAATGTGAAACCCATTGGGAGTAAATGGGTATACTCTGTCAAACTACGTTTTGATGGTTCTCTTGAGCGTTATAAGGCTCGTTTGGTTGCTTTAGGTAACCGCCAAGAATATGGAATAGACTATGATGAGAATTTTGCTCCAATTGCAAAAATGACTACTGTACGTCTCCTGTTATCTCTTGCCGCTTCCCAATCTTGGTCTTACATCAAATGGATGTGAAGAACGCGTTCCTACACGAAGATCTTAAGGAAGATATTTATATGAGACTTCCATCTAGTATGCCTCTTCCTTCAGCAGATTCTGTTTGTAAACTAAACCGCTCTTTGTATGGTCTTAAGCAGGCCCCTAGAGCATGGTTTGACAAGTTTCGCCACTCTTTTGGATTTTTCCTTCACTCAGAGTCAGTATGATGCATCACTATTTCTTCACAGGAGTAAAGATGCGATCATTTGTTTGTTAGTATATGTGGATGATATTATTATTTTTGGATTTGATCACATCCCTATTCAGAAGCTTCAGCAACATCTTCACTCGTTTTTTCATATAAAAGATCTGGTCATCTCACTTATTTTCTTGGATTAGAAGTCCATCCAGCACCGTACGGTATTTTCTTGAATCAGCATAAGTATATTCAAGACTTGATTAGATTGGCTAATTTATCTGAAGCCTCATCTGTTGATACTCCGTTGGAGCTTAATGTCAAATATCGTAAAGATGAAGGCGAAATTCTTTCGGACCCTACACTATATCGGAGATTGGTGGAAAGTCTTATCTATCTCACTATCATACGTCCTGATATTTCCTTCACCGTTCATACCGTCAGCCAATTTATGGTTGCTCCTCGTCATCTACATTTGGGAGCTGTTCGTCGTATTATCCGATATCTTATTGGGACTCCTCATCGTGGTTTTTTTCCCTAGGGGGACATCTCTTGAGCTCACCGCTTATAGTGATGCTGATTGGGCTGACTGTCCTGATTCTCGTCGATCTACCACGAGTGGTGTATTTTTTTAGGTGATGCTCCCATTTTTTGGAAATGTAAGAAGCAGGATTGTGTATTTAAGTCTTCCACTGAGGCTGAATATCGTGCTATGTTAGCTGTTTGTTTTGAGGTTGTATGGTTGCGAGGTCTTTTTGCCGAACTTGGTACTTCTCAATCACGGCCTACACCACTCCATGGTGACAGTACTAGTGCTATTCAAATTGCGGCTAATCCTGTGTATCATGAACGCACCAAACATATTGAAGTGGATTGTCATTATATCAGAGATGCCTATGATTCCAATGTCATTGCTCTTCCCCATGTCTCCCGTGCTCAACGGGCTGCAGATATCTTCACTAAATCCTTGACTTGCCATCGTCATTTCTTGTCAGCAAATTGATGCTTGNCTTGTCGGCAAATTGATGCTTGTGGACTCACCAGCATCAATCCGGGATTTCTTTGATTGTATAGCATCAAATCTTTCCTTGTATATCGTTGTAATATTCTATAAATTAAGGGCAATACACACGAGAAGATTGTTCATCAAAATCGAATTTGTCAGTCCCAAGCTATGAATAAAGGTTTTTATGTAGTCTTAGTAGACTTGTCAAGCCATGTTCAATTTACTCTGGTCCTCGTGATGGGGAGAATTTAAATAAGATTAACTGAAATCTCTGGTAATTTGGCATTACTTATGGCTTTTTGGTAGTGATTTTAAGTGCTTATAAGTTGTGGATGGCCAACTTAAAATTTAAGCTTTGCCAATCATGCACTTCAGAAATATTGACAAAATTGTGGGAGAATGAAGTACATTAGTCTAGTTACAGTAGTCACCAAGTTGCATTTTCACAGTATATTTTTCTATGGGCTATGCTCAACTCTTGTCACATGCATGTGGGCTGAAATAAATAGAATAAATGTGTTTAGAATGCATTGCTTAACAGTTTCTGTGAACGTGGAAAAAATCTGGTTTTGTTCTTCTCGGTTATGAATTAGATTGAATAGTTCAAGTTGGAGCAACATTTGATGCTATTGTTGGAGGTTGACAACAATCCTTGACATATGAATCATATTCCTTGTGCTTTCTTAATTGTATTGGGACGTGCTTTTTCCATGCTACGGTATCATGTTGTGCTTGGCATTACCTCCTTCCTCTTAATACTTACAGGTTATTAGTAATGCGCATCAGTGGCTTGGAATGCTACATGAGGCATGTATTGCTAGTGGAAGACTGTTTGAGAGTACTGATACTCAAAAATTGATCGACACGCATTAGCCCTGGAGTTTTAGGCATGATTTGGGTCTTTGATATTTTACTATGCAGAACTGACCTTAATGTATACAGTGGGAATGGAGTGAAAATATGGATATAAGCATCGACATGGTGAAATTTCATCTGCATTTAAACATGGAAGTTGAGCTTTCATTATTCATGGCCATGTGGATGAACCTAATGCTTGATCGAACCAGGTTAAGAAGTGATATGGTTAATGTTGTTATGCACTACATGGAACTGGTGAAGTTGTTTATGATATAGTATTTTTCTTTTTGGCAGGATATTCGGTACTGACAAGGGTTTTACAGAAAATTGAAGACATTGAAGAGTAATGGAGACGAGGATGTTGTCAAGGAAACATGAAAACTTAGAGGTGAGCTTGACAGGAAAGGTTTTTTTGTCGTTGGAGCATCATGTTTTTGGGTTGTTTCTCAACCTTACGTGCAATTTCTTTTTGTGTCCATTTGCTGCTGCTAAATTGCTCAATTCACTCACTAAACTTGGGACCAGTTGCAAACTTGAGATCATCTGATTGTTTGACTGCCACAAAATGTGAAAGTCGCAGCGGATACTTGTGATTTAAGAATTCCAATTTTATTTTCAAATATTATGTTTCTGTAACTTGTGTAGAGTGCATCTGTATATTCTATGCCATATCAGTTGGGTTGGCCTAAGGCACGTGTTTTTCTCCATTCTGAAGTGTGAAAAATCCACAGTTCAACATATAGAAAGAAGCATAATCCATTACTACTATGAACCAGTTGCTAAGGCAAAACATGGTGAACTCATCCTACTCACAGGCGTTTACTTGACTCATTTGAGGCATTTTCCATCTCGGGAGTGGCTGCACTCCTCGGCTAGGGCATAGCTGCATTTTGCTGTGCCTAAGCTCCTTTTAAACTTGTGTTAAGAAAATCTAGCTCTTTTTTATAGTATCCTGAATAATCTAAATATTGTGTAAAACTTGACATCACGTACACGCAGGCAGAAAAATGCGTAGTATATACACATCACAACAACTCGAAATGGAATTACACCTGGTTAAAAAGTGACAACTCAGATTCCTTATGCAAGTATGAGAATGCATTTCAGAATGGAAGAACTGCAAAATTTTAACTAACAAATGGAACAATAATGTTTAAGGAGAGTTGATGACAGTTATAGTAGAAGGAAAGATTGCCAAATTTGCGGTGAAATGTTTTATACTAAAGACTAGTACTCGGATAGAACCCGTTTACAGACATTCCCCCATCAACGCAGATTATCTGACCGGTAATATATGAAGATGCAGGTAGACAAAGGAATGCCACCAAAGACGAGACCTCCATTGGATCCCCAAGCCGTCGCATTGGAGTTCTGTCGTACACCTCTTTCAAATATTCTTCGTTGCTGAGCACCTGAAATCCGAGAGTTAGATATCACACCTATATATGACAACAGTTATTCAAATACTTTTCAAGTAGCCAAAGAAAAGAAACCTACTTGCTCAACCATAGAGGTTCTAATGTACCAAGGTGCAACAGCATTAGTCCTGATATTATCCTTTGCCCACTCACATGCCAAACTTTTGGTAAGTTGATTAATCGCACCTAAAAGTGACGGAAACAAAGAAAATCACGGTATTATAATCACGGTAATATTGCATCTCTAGCGAGATCAATTGACACTTGAATTACCCTTGGTTGCTGCCTGGACTGACATAGACTTCAATGATACGAAACCAGAGACAGAGGAGGTGAACACAATACTTCCTGCTCCAGAGGCTCTCAGAAGAGGATATGTTAGTTGGCACATGTGAAAAGAAGATTCAAAATTTGTCGACATAAGGATAGAGACTTCTTCAGCTGTGAAATCGACCATATGTTTCCTTATATTTGTTCCAACATTGTTTATCTACTGAGCCCACAAGTAAAAAAATAAAATTTGTTAGTTTATACAGAGAAAGCACAAAGATATCAGTGACTCGATGACTAAATATAATTAATAGGTAACCTATAACTAATGCAACATACACATTGAAAAAAGAAAAGGAAAAAGGGAAATTTGAAAACATAAATGAATATAAAGTACAATCAGGGTCTGTTCCAAACGAAAATATTCATAGGATATAAAAAAGAAAAATTGAACCATGAGATCAACTGCGAAAAATCAGAAGTTGAGAACTTAGGAAACAGTAAATAGGTTTGAGCCACATTTTTATAGAATGAGAATGGAAAATATAGCCGTTATTGGGGTCCACACAAGAGATATAAAATTTGAATTTACATGTTGATATGATGGATAACGGTTATATTTTTCATTTTAATGAGAAAATAAGGTGGCTCAAACGGGGGCTCAATCAAAATTTGCTTTTCTGGAGTACCAAAGGGGCATCTGCCCTGGTAAGCAGATATTCCGATAGAGAGCAGATACACAATACATGGAACCCCGCTCAACCACCATTTTTTCCACAATGTCCAGCAATTTTGGTGAACGGTTTGTCAGCAGTTGTAGCTAAGTTACATAACTATTATAGAAGACTAGTGAAGGAAGTCTTGTTGAAGAAGAAGATTAGTGAAGGAAGTCTCATTGAAGAAGATTGACAGAAACAATTTAAAAACTGATTCAATCTACGCCTGCAAATGTGGTCAAGTTAATAAATAATTCAGATGATGTTAAGATGGCTAACATTCAAATCAGTGAACAAAATGTGTGGAGTGTTTAGATACAACGAGCTTTAATAATAGGCTCAATGATGTGTTTTACCTCCTTGAGACTTAAGAGAAATGTAAGCCTCACTTTGAGGCGTAAATGCCAATAATATAACTCAAAAATGATAAAACTTACAAAACAATACCCGTAACAGACCATGAACAATCTTGAAAATCTGTAGTAGAATAGTTTAACAAAATTTAAAGTGTAACTTGCATACAGACATGAAATAAATTAGCAAATAATAAATCGTTGAATTAATTCATATATCAAAATTGACATCTACTGCTAGGAATCACAGAAAGGCTAAAGGTCTTCCATATCATCTCAAGTAATATAATATTCAAGAGAACTATTAGCATATTTGGCCCTTGTTTGACACCCATTTTGGAGAATTTGATTTGGAATAGTGATCGATGGAAGAATGTGTGGTTAAAAAGTAAGGAAAATTTTTGGATTTATGTGTAATATTATTTTATTGATAGAATGTGTGGTTGAAATGAAGAAAGAGAAAAAAATGGATGTCAAACAAGGGCTTTATTCCCATATCATCCTCCAAATCCAGCTTCTTCCCATTCTTTCTCTTAGTTATCCACTTGCAATGATTTATTCCCCTTCCATGCCTCAAAAATGAAAAAATTGGAAAATAAAAATAAAAAGACAATACGAAGATATAAATGAAAGAAAAGAGTGAAGTTATAGGTAGCAGGTCTCTAATCATTGGCCAGCTGCTGCTGAAATTTTGCAACTTCACTCGTAGGAAGCTATGTTGCAACTCAAATTGATACAAAATAGATGCAACATTTTCTTGGATTATGATTGATTTGTAGATTTTTGAAAGATACTATTTTTTAAGTCATATAGCTTATTCCCCATATCAGTATTATTCACAACGTTAGTATACCTTCCCTACTTATGGCAAATTGGTTATTCAATAGTCATGAACTGGTAACTCCACTATTAACTACTTCATTTATGAATTTCATAAGTAATAAATGGTTTCATTAAGAGTCTTCCCCTGCGTGGTGGAAGGTTTCTCTCTCCCCGCGTGGTGGAGTTTTATTTCCTTCCCCTGTGAAGGTTTTCCTTCCCTCCGGCCGGTGAGGGCTTGGTTTCGGTATCTACGCGATCGTTGGGGGGTGGGAGCTTTGGCTCCCCCCCTTTCCCCCCTTTTTTCCCCCTTTCTTTTCCCTTCTTCCTTTTTCTCTGTTTTGGTTGCCCGTGGTTCCTCTGCTTTTGCAGGCACCGTGTTGGGCAGGGTTGTGGTGAGGTTGGCGAGCTCCGGTTGTGGTGTTCCTGTGGGCTTTGGTCGGTGTTTGGGGCGGGTGAGGTTTGGTCGGAGTCGGAGTGGACACTGCTGCTTTTGGGGTTGTGGTGAGGTTGGCGAGCTCCGGTTGTGGTGTTCCTGTGGGCTTTGGTCGGTGTTTGGGGCGGGTGATGTTTGGCCGGAGTCGGAGTGGACACTGCTGCTTTTGGGGTTGTGCCAGCGTGCCCTTTTTGGCTGATTTTCAGCGTTGGCGAGGGTTTGGGATGGTGGTGTGTGGTTGATTTTTCGTGATTGTTGATTGGAGGGTTTGTCTTATTGTGGCTGGAGAAGGTGTCTTCTGGCGGCGATAGGGCGGGGTCGGTGGTGTGGCTGGCTCAGCTTCGGTGGTGGCGTTTGTGTGGGCTTCGGTTGGGAAGGGAGGCGAGCGAGGTGTGGCCGGATTTTGGTTGGCCTCGGTTGTGTGCGTTCTTTTTCGGTGGGGCCGACGGGAGGGCTGCTGTTGAGGGAACTAAGTTGGTGGCCCGTTTTTGGACTGGTTTTCAGTTGGGGCGTGGATGGTGGTGGTGGTGTTTGGTGGTCGTTTTGTGTCGTTTGGTGGTGTATTGGTTGTTTTGTTTCGATTTCATTGTTGAGGCTTTTTGGTTGTTGTGGTTTTGTTGTAGTGTGGTTTGTATTGGCAGTGTTGAAGTCTAGACAATGCCCGTTTCCTTGCGTGCGGGGGTGCCAAAGTGCTGAGTGCGTAGTTGACTTTACGTTGGGTTTTTCACGCCTGGGTTAAGTCGCAGATGTTTTCCGACTTCTTGTGCCGTTGGTTGTATTGGGAGGTGTATAGCTTGTTTGTGTTTGGGTCTTTTTTAGCGGTTAGTGATTGTTTCTTGGGCTGTGGTAGCACTTTATCTCTCTTTGGAGAGCTTGTGTTGGAGATCTTTCTCCTTATATCCACTTTGTTTGCCTTCTTTGGAATATATTGTCGATTTTCCTCAAAAAAAAAAAAAAATGGTTTCATTACTTCCCATAGCCAGCCTTCCATATAGGCGTGGCTGGCATATGCTAAGATAGAATAGACTCCCTAATATGCCTAATGACCCTACTATTATATAGAGAAAACTAAATTTTGAACCCCTTTCATGCTCATGGCACATGACAGAGTAGTTAAATATAAACGGTACTTCCGATTTTTTCTTATCTATGGGGTGTCGAGTTCAACATCACTAACTTTTTTGTTTCCAAAAAGAAACTTTCGGTAAAAGACAAAAGAAGAAACAGTTAAAAATAGAAAGGAAAGGGAGCTATCATAGTCTATTAACTAGAGTTTGATACAATTGTTTATCATAAGATTCCAATAAACTACATCAAACATAGAGACGGCGTAAAACTTATGGAACCTCAATTTTCACCAGTACAGCGACAGAAGTTTTGAGGGCCTGGGGCTAATTTTGAATAGGACAAAGAACGGATCTGCAACGTTCCAAATGAATTGGCTTATTTGAAAAGGCCTTGGTCTTTGGAAAATGTATCTCGTGTTTGGCACTACATGTTAGCCCCTGCAAGAACAACCTAAAGGTTGTTCCACAAAGTTCATCCAGAGAAGATGATGCCCAAAATGAAAATGTTTCATGCATTTTTATCATTTCTTAATAAACAATTTTTTCCTTAATTATTTTTAAACCCTCTTTTTGCTCATGGAGATTAGAAATTGATACCCAAGTTGGCTTACAAAGATCAAGTGCTTCACAAACCTTATTATTTGTATTTATTACCAAAATATCTAGAGATATACACACAAAGAAAACCGATTGATAGAACAAAATTAAACCAATCCACATAATGACATAAATTTGGTGGCACCAAAATGATATACCAAGAACATGATGAATGAGTGAATAAAGAATAAACTTACAAGAATATTGAGCTTCCCACTGAACACAGAGGACACGTCTTCTATTAACTTCCCCCTTTCAGTTAGAGACGACACATCACATACTGAGCCAGTGACTCGAAGACCCTCATCTTTCCAATCCCTCAAGCATTTTCTTAGCTCATCCTCATTCCGCGCACAAGTATGGACAATTGCCCCGAGCCCGGTCAACTCCTCCACAATCGCAAGCCTAATGTATAGCATATAGTTACAAAAAGAAAGAACTCACATTAAAAATTGCATCTTTGGACAATTTCTCTATAAATATATTTGGAAATTGAAGTGTTGTGTGGATTTAGAGTGATACCCAATGCCTCTGGTGCCGCCAGTGACGAGGGCAGTCATGTCATGAAGGGACCATCGAGAGGCTCTGCTTGAACGGGTGGTGGCAGATGCAGATGCTTTGAATCGAACTGAAATGCTATTCGAAATTGATGGGCTTGTTGATAATGTGGGATTATGCAAAAACGCAGGTGGGTTTGTGGTAAGGGTTTGGTACATGTTTCAGTTTTTCCGGTGTCGAGTTGCAACTCAGGATTTCAAAAGTGGAAGCTTGTGCCCTTGTTCCTTGTACAATTCAAAATCACGGTCGCCATATTTCGCCTCTTCCGGGGATTTTTTGATAATAGATTTTGTGAAGATGATTTTTTTTTTTTTTATAAGAATGAATTTGGAAAAAAAAAAAAATAAGAGTGTTAGAAAATAGGGATCAATCCAGATCGTTTTATTCAAAACTCCAATTATGATGTCCCTTCTATCTTCCTTCACATCTCACTTACGAATGCAATAGTGACAAAGCACTACTGACGAATTTTCGCTTATTACTTGATAAAAATGATTTTAATTTTTCCGTTGGATCATAGTCTTGACCTCCGATCGAGTTATGAACATTTTAGTTATTTATCATTCAATGAATGACTAATAAATGATCCATTGAAAATTAATCTAAAATATTAATATAATCCAATTAGACTATTTGTTAGGGTTCAATTTTCATGTAATTTCTATGTCCTCTCATGACCATACAATGTTTATACAAAATGGGAGCCTATTCATAAAGAGAAGAACATGGAAAATGAATAGGAAGGAAATGAGATTGGAAAATGAATAGGAAGGAAATGAGATTTCTGCTGATGCGTACAAAATATATATTTTGCTGTTTCTCTCAAACTCCCGACTGAAAACAAATTGATAATACAACTATGTATGTTCGTCTAAAAATTTGTACAATTTTCTTTCAGAATTCATCGACAATTTGATAGACACATCCTCATAGTTAGTTGGTCTTCCTTGGACATCAGTGTGTACCGGCTCCTTCATTCAATCAGGCACTATTTCATTTTCTAAGCAATTACGAAGCTTAATCTCAGTAGCATTCATGCCTGTCATATGCATAACGTCGCAACATTCTCTTCTGGTTTCAATCTAAGAAACAGAGAAAAAGACGCATTATAAACAACCAGTAGATTGGCTGTCTGTCTAGAGCATAAACATCTTATGTTGAGAGAGGGAGAAAGACTCACTGGATCATGTTTCCATGTAGGGGAGAGAACATATATCTTGGAGACATGATTAGCAGAAAAATTGCCAGTTGAGGAGCAAGACGGTATTGAACCTGCAGGCATTCTCCTACTATAGCTAGTAATGAAATAATTGTCACTTTTATTTTCCACAGAATCAAAGAAAAAGAAATGTCGAGCTTTACAACGATTTTTGGAGGGAATTCTAGTGTTAAAAAGGAATAAAGGCCAGACGTATTTGCTCCAAGGGGTAAATGTCTGGAGGGGTCTCTGGAGCATGCTTGGAAGGAAGATGGCTTCATATAGTTGAACTGAATAGCCCCATGATATGGAGAAGCTCCAGTTTTTGGGTTTGTCATAGCATATGCTTTGCTGTAGTAGCCTAGACTCGTCTATTTTCGCAGCTTCCATTAGATGATTCAGCGATTCTTTCTGGTTCATGTAAGGAAATATTGGATTGATGTAATCGAGATGGTGGAGGGATACAAGAGGAGCCTGTGGATGTGCTGATAGAAGACCTGATATGTCACCGTGTACATCAAACTGAAAAGGGAGAAATGAATGAAACTTCTTGTCCAGCAAGGTCCTCAATTATCGAATTGAATACAACTAGGAACTTTATATTTTGACATGAATTTACAGGTTTAAGTATACCTGTTCTGCAAAGTGAAATGCTACATATGAAGGTGTCTGTTTTGGGGGATGCTACAGGTTATTTGGGGGTGAGAGGCTAGGTTGCACGGAGCGGAAACAAAACATGACACAACATGACATGTAGAAACATTATTTCACTTAAAAGTAGGACATGAAGCACTATTGAAACGTTGCAGAATAATATTGTACTTTTTTGTTATAAATTAAGAAAAGCTATTTAATTAAATATTCAAACTCTAGTCACTTGTTAATTTTACTGAAGTAAAGTTAATTCTTATTCGAAGCCTACTAAAGCTCCATAATAATTTTCAAATATTTTGCTCAAAAATTCAGTAAAGTTTCATCAAGATTTCCGAATTTTATTAAAAAAAATAAAATAGAATAGGAAAAAATGTAAAAAAATCATTTATCAAAGTGTAAATGATGCATCAAATGCTTTCTAAATGTAAAATTAATATTCAGATGGAGACTTATTACCTGATGGAACCCTTTTTCACGAGTGAGAGAGACACCTAAATCAGCCACACAGGACTGCACAATGTGGTCACTTCCATATAGAGTTGGATATCTCTTTATACAGACATCCAAATTATTCACCAATGCCTCAGCAAGAGGAAAACTCAGAGCATATCCAGCCCCACCAAAAGCCATATTAAATGAGTGAAAAACATTTGATGCATGACTTTCTGAATTCATTCCAATGTAAAAGTACTTGTTGTGATCATATCTTGCAAGAACATCTGCCAAATTGTTGATGAAAAAAACTGTGTCATCATCTGCCAAAATGTACCACCTTACGCCTTCTTTTTCTGCCTTAAATGTCTCTAAGATAAGGTGTGTCATTCTAATGGCCTGTGGGATTGGGTGCTTATCATACTTTTTGTATCTAGATAGAAGTATCCTGGTAAATACGGAAGGGAGGTGAAGAAGGTGGCCATGGAAGAAATTCTCTAGGAAATCTATCCATGAAAAGATAGCCTTGAGTTATATTTGGGCGCCACCATGTTTCAACGTACCATCTTCTGTTCTTCCATGTCTTGAATGAGCCTGCTATGCCGAAAACGACATGGCTAAGATTGGTGGGAATGAAAGGAGGATCGAAATATTTGAGATCTTTCTGCCTCCATATGGTAAAAATGGTGGAAGAATAACAACATGAATGGTTGGACAAGAAGATAAAGAACATATACAGGATGAATCCAGAAACTACAAGTAACTTGCACAACATAATAGATATATTCGATAGATTGGTGGATTTTTGTTGAATAACCATGAATTTCGAAATGATGCCCATAGACATTGAGAATAAGGAGAAGGCACAGAAAATTCAAGAAAAGAAATCTAAAATTTATAGAAGAAAGAAAAGCCTTGTATCAAGAAGAGCTTAATTACTAATGAGCAGCATGTTGCTTTCCATGTGTTGCTGATAATTCATGTGATATGCCATTGAGCATTTTCCCTTGTAACTTGCATTTCATGCTAAAGGAAGAAAGTATAGCATTTTGCACGCCACCAAGGATTCGGCCTTTTTTGTTAGTTGTACAATGCCAGAGTCCAAGTTATTGGCAAGAGTAATTTCACCTGAGGTCACTGAACTTTAATTTGTCTCAATTGGATCATTGAACGTTAATTTGGTTTCTAGTTTTTCGACTACGCCAGGAGTCGTCTCCCAAGTTAATGAATAATACTTAATTTACAACTATGTCCCAACTAATCTTATGCATAATAGCCGCATACATGTCAATTTATCAATATGTTCCGTCATAAAAGTATTGGAATAATTTTTTTTACCTTCTCAATTTAAATACATTGCCACAACCCGAATTTTATCATTTTCATTAATAAGGCATCACATAAAGGTTACGTGAAAGATTGGTCAGGATGTTTAGGGATGACACATGACGGAATGTGATGAAGTGATGAAATTCGAAACCAGACAAATTAAAATTTAGTGATCCAACTGAGATTCCCCTGAAAGTTGATGAATGCTTATTATTGTACCATCGAAGGTTTAGTATAGGTTTCATCATTAGTGGGAGTTTAGTCATTTTTCTTGTTTAAGTTTCATAGTATCGGGTTTTGCAATTCTTATGTAACATAATACAATTTTTACCTTGTTTAACATGATGTTAGAGCACGTTTCTTCAATACTTTTGCTTGTTCAGGGTTTTGCACTTATATTCTTATCATTGTATGCATTGAATAATACAATTTCTATCTTGTTTACCATGATAACAGAGAAGTATTCGATCTTATTTTGAGTTAAGCTAACCTTTACTCTGTTCTCATGTTGGCTCGTGTACCATGTTTTATTCTCTCACTTTCTGATATTGCTAGTTGGTGTTGGTGGTGTTAAGATTAACATCTAAAGCTAAAAAATAACTGAGCAACCTGAATTTGTTCTATATATTCATAGTATTTATGAGAGAATTAGCCAACAATTTTTAAAGTTAAGTTACCGTTGGAAAACAGCATTAAAATTTACAAGTACCAAGGAACAAGAATTTTTAGCAAGCAATAGACTTGAGTCACACAAAGACGAAGAAAAATGCGATTGAGGATCAAGGTACGAACAATGAAGAGGTGCTTGATGAAATGTCTCATACAAGAGGTATCTTTGCACTGAAACAATTTATTATCATTTTCAAGCTAGACACGTGCAGACTAGTTTAGAAACAATACGGACTCTAAGCCCTTTATACTAAAAAAATTCACGGTTATTCATGACTTGCAAAATACGATTTGGGTGATATTGTTGAGAAGTATAGTCTGAATTGTTGGAACTTAAGGTTAGACTCTTTGTAACTGTAAAAGATTAGAATTCTCTCTTGAGAACCCCCAAATTTAGACTCCATGGAATTGTCTCAACAAATATAGACCCTGTTAGACATATTTGGATCTTCTGCATTACATTTATGCCTTAGGAACTGGGTTGACCGTGGATTTGGCTGATTTGATATTCAATAAAGTATGTACCTTGGGAAGTTTCACGGGTTTCTCTGCCAGAGTTATATCCTCTCTCTTTGCTTAAGTTGCACTTCCAGGAGGTACAAACATTGCGTTCTTTTGATTCCTCTTAGGGCCAATGTAGCTTTCTCATAAAGCTCTTTTACAAGAAGTAGAAGCTCTGCCAAACTGACCTTTAATTTCAAAAAGACGAGTGTTGATGGTCCTGATGACTGTATAACTATGTACTCGCGCTAGTTGCTTGTGTATGTGGACTGGCATGCAACGTTTGGCTTATTTGCTTTCATATTCATGACATATTTATTGCATGCTGAATTAACAAATGCATGGTAATAGTTATTTTATATACAGAAGCTTTATTCTATCAAGATTTGTAAGAAAGTCTTTGGTTGCAGCTGATCGTTATAAAACTAAAGGCAAAAGTCTAAATGTTGTTCAAGGGATGAGACATGGAGTAATGTGATGCTTGACTTTAAAGACTCACTTTAGGCAACTATACATTCTTTTTTTACCAAAATTGCTGTTATCAAATAGCTAATTTGTCTAATGATTTTCTCTGGAAATGGTTCTGTGTGATTATTTAATTGCATTTTACAGATATTAAGATCTTTTAAGATAGGCTGAGATTCCTTTCCAGTTGAAAGCAAATATATGAACGTATTGACAGGTTGCAGGAAAATACATTACTTGGTCTCTCCTTACAAGTTTCCTCCGCATCAATATTTCGAATTCTATAGGACTTGACCACGAATACAATCTCAAAATTTAATTTCTTCTTAGTCATCATCGATGTAAATTGTCTCTTGCTTGAATAAACCACCGAACACCTTCCTCACTTCTGTCTTAGACTCTTGTTCTTTGGCTTTTGGCTTTGGAACCTCCTTTTGTTTCAACAAAGAAAGTTTTGGCTTTGGGGCTGGGTTTCTTGCTGCCGCCTTCTGAGGAGGCAGGGGACGAGCCTTGGCCTGTCCCATGATGGTGGCAATCTGCACTTTTGATTCCTCACTTGACTTTTCAGCAGCAGATTTAAGCTGTGAGCTCCACTTCTCCCAAGAGATCCCAGAACCAATGCCTTTTGCTTTGTCCAAGAGGCTTTCAACTGATGCTCCTGCAGCTTCTGCCTTCTTTTTGGCTTCTTCTGAAAGATTGGCAGCCGTAGCTTCTTGTTTTTCCAGTTTTTTCAGCTCTTCCTCAAGCTTCTTTGCTGCTTCTGCTGCTGCTTGAGCACGATCAGACGCTTTAATAGCTTCCTCCTCAGCTTGAGCTTTTGTAAAGGCTTCTGCATAAGCCTTTCGTCTTCTGTCCTCAGGAATTGCACTGTAAGATTAAGAATAATTCACACATTGAAACGGCATTCCATCAAATAGTTGAAAATGACCATATATGTAAGTGAGAATATGATTACCCAAAAAGTTCATTAATAGTCTTTGAGGGTGCTGATGGATCAGTGAAAACCTTCACAACCTGATATTAAAAAGTATTAGCAGATTAAATGGTTAGCTATCTAATTGTTTTCCACTTATCTTCGCCTTAGAGAAGCCAAACAAAGAAAGCAAAGTTCCATCTGTTTAATGTGTAAAAAATCCCAGTCATGTATACAGACCGTACCACTTGTGCCTTTTGATCATTGTGACACACATTTTTGGTTTATGTAGTTACGGGTTCCATTTTCTTATAATACTTGTGCTTTTTTACCACTGTTTTTGAGAGAGAATCAATAGAATTGCTTATATTCAAAATGAGACACTGGCTAAAGTAAAGCATTTGACATCTGAGCAAGATTATCCTTTGCATGATATATATCTTTGAGTTTTTAGAGATGCTACTTGTAAATTAGTCTTTTTCTTCATACTCAGAAGCTCATAACTTTCATTTGCTGCATTTGTTATGTGGTTCAAGGAAATTATAGCGCTTATATGGACTGAACTATAACAAGATCAATTTTTTTGCATTATGTTTCCCTGCTATTATTGCCACAGAGCAATACCTTATTTTCTGCCACTGCTGTATTGGAGAAGACATCTGCCACTAGTGCTGCTATTCGTGACTTTGCAACCTGTTAATCGAGAAAAAAAAAAGGGATTTGTAAGGAATGAATAACCAACTACATCTAGTAGAATTATTGAAGAAGTCAAATGTCTTTTTTTGCATCTACTAGAAAAGCTGTAGATATGCAGCTTCAATTGAAATACCAGTACAACAGTAACATGCTCAAACTTCCAAAATGAAAAAGAAATTGCATACATTACATTACTTTGTAGTCGTTCGCATCAGTACTTCCTTCAGCTGAGACGACAATGTTATATGAACTCTCGGGGGAAAAATCTTCTGTTAGCTTGGTCTTTATGAGGGTATAGGTAACATCAGTCTCGACTAGCTTTTGCAGAAAGTCTGTCAATGTCAAGGGTTGAGATCTTGAGAAGAGATTGTTGAAGAAGGAAGAGATCCCATCGAGTACATTGTAGGTGGAGGCAGTCATTGATGATTCATCATAGACTATTGCCACATGACCAACATTTGCCAATTGTGCAGCCTGAATTACTTGCAAGGCATCTGCCGTGCTTACCTGTGCACCTGGACCATTCTCTGCTGGACCTACAGTTACTACAACTTTACTAGCATTTCCTATGGCTTTTGCAATTGATTCTGCATCTTGGTATGTGGATTCCACAGCGTTCAGGCGCTTCGATTCGATGTTAGATATTATCTGAAATGTAGCACATGTACTAGTCACTAAGGGAATGACCATCTTAAACTTTGTCTCCAATTATGATTTATTTACTTATGTAGAGAGAATTTTGCCATATTCACAGGTTTCGAGTTCCACTGTTCTATGTTGTGCGTATACTCTTTCTCATAGTTCGGAGAACTAACCTTATATTTGGAGGCCAAAAGGGCCAACTCTTGTGCAGCACCAAGGTCTGGAACACCAGCTCTCACACTAAACCCGACCCTCAGAAGTGTTTGCGCAATGCGTATTCCAACTAGCCCAGTAGCACCGGCTACAAACACCGTTCCAGGGTCTTTACGCCTTTGGCTCCCTAAACTCAAGCCTGAAGACGGATTGATCACTGCTGGAACCAAAGACTTTGCATCTGGTAAATTCCCAAAGTCAAACCGAAAAGGATTTGAATTGCCCGAGTTCCCTTCTTGGCTTTCCTCAGAGGTATCAGTACTTTTTCCTAGTCGGAATGGCGGGAAGGATCCACCTTTCTTGGAAAACACCGTGAGCCTCCTTCGACTTTTGAATCCTGATATTGAATGGGGGGTTGTAAATAGAAGAAATGAATTTGATGTAAGGGTTGGCGCCATGAATGGATAAGAGGAGGAAATAGAGTGTCAGCAGGCTTTTGAACATTCATTCATTCAAATTTCATGTTTTATCCATTCAGTTGGTGATATGAATGTCAGAATGAGGGAGGCACTGGCCAATTTCTGTGCTGTGGGGTGCCATAGAAAGGTTCATTTTTGGCTGCAGTGTTGACTGGATTTGGGATGTGGGTTAAATCCAATGAGAGCCTGCCACATGGTTCATTTTTATCTACTTAGAGTACCGCTAACCAGACATTTTATGTAGCAAAATCTATATGCAACAATGTGTGCCAAGAAAAAAATCATTTGGGTTTTTAATAAAAAGGTATCAAAATTTCGTGTGAACAAGTCTGTACAATTAACAATAATTTAAGGGCACGTTTGGCTAATTCAGCAATAATAAGAGAAAAAAAGTTGAAATGAAATCAGTAAAGTTACTTATGTGCTTGTTTGTGTTTCATTATACTTGTAGTTTAAAATCAAAATCAAACATTAACCATACATTCACGACTACTACTAACTTATTATCTACAATTTCGTGGACCCATATTGTAATTACGTAAGAGTTAGTTTTTTTGAAATTTTTTTTTATTACTTAAAGATAAGTTATTCAAGCAATGCTTGTAGATAAAAATTATTATGTATGAGTAAATAAGTAAGCTTTGAAAATAAACAATTTTTTTTGTTAGTTAGAGTGAGAAATAAGTAAGTTACTTATTTCAAGACAAATGTCCTAATCATTACCTCATTTTGACACAAATGCCCCTTCCATCCTAATAAGTACAATCTCTGTAAATCCGGATTAAATTGGACATTTAAATTCTTTGAGCCATCATTGCAATGTAGCAACTACAATGGCTTTTAGGTCATAATCTTAAGAATTTCCCTCTTACACTGGAGCCATTGTGACATGTTATGCATGTCAATCCTCTCCATTTGACTCTCGAAGCTACTGATTAGTAAAGACATGATAAAATGATTAACGAGGTTCTTAACTAACACAACTTTATACACAATCACATTTTCATAGTGAGACTTTCTCTCGTAGACATATTTTGATGAGCAATAACGATGTCCACGTGATGAGTTGTTCACTCTTATACGAATAAATAATCCAAAAAGATGATTATGATTTTGACCTATTTTGTATTTTCCCTTAAGCTAGATGGGCAAAGAGGGAAAGAGACCATCATTTGGTTTGTCAAGCCTTTCCTTCTTATTTTCTTGATCGTACCGTAAGGATTTCATGCAAATATGATCTTGTTAGAGTTTTCAATTATGTCTATATTTTGATGGTAGTATTTACACGTCATAGTACTAAATACTTTGAAAGACCTTGACTTTGATTTTAGTAACATGATCATATCCAGTGATTTGTTGTGCAACAAATTGAAGATTGATAACTTGATTGCAATAAAGTGAAGTTGAGGGACCTCAATGAGTGTTTACATAAAGTTGAAGGAGCAAATATATAATATAAAATAATTTCATGATACCATTCTTTTTTCTTGAAGAGGGAAGTAAGGGGAAAGAGAAATCGGACCTCCAAGATCATGCCACGTGGACCATTGCAGATAAACGGATGCAAACCTATTTATATTCCATTCTTTATTCTCCTTTCTGTTCCGCCACTTCTGTCTCATCTCTCTCTGCTGCTTGTTGATTTCTTTCTATCCGTACAACTCTCACTTCACAAACCCTACGTTCGATTCCAAGCATTTCATTCGACTAAACCGATAGATTTTTTGCCAATTTCCATTTCGTTTTCTCGAATTTCAGTTTTCCCGATTTCGAGAAAATTTCGAGATATGGCAAGCTCCACCACCAGTAATGTTTATGTACACGTCATCGAGGACGTCATCAGCAAGGTCCGCGAAGAGTTCATCAACAATGGAGGTCCTGGTGATAGCGTACTCAATGAACTTCAAGGAGTAAGACTTTGTTTATATTTTGAATTAATTCGTAGTGATTTCCCCCTAAATTAAATTGCATTTATGATAATTTTGAGTGTTATTTTCTTGAAATATTAGTTTTTGGTATCGATAGAACGAATTTGGGTCTGTATTGTTGAATTGATTCCTGGGTGTGATCTGATTGGTTTTAGGTTCTGGTAATTTTTGGATCTGTTGAGGTGGAATTTAATGTTGACGATATGTTTATGGTGGATTTTGCAGTTATGGGAACTGAAGATGATGCAAACGGGGGCAGTGTTTGGTCCGATAGACAGGTCTTCCGTGCAAAAGGCAGCGCCAGGGGGTCCAATTACTCCAAATCCTGTGCATGACTTGAATGTACCCTATGAAGGCACCGAGGAGTACGAAACTCCCACAGCAGATTTGCTGTTTCCCCCGGTTAGCTTTCAGATTTCCCATTACATGTTGCAGCCTGGTGAAATTTGAAGTCAAGATAAATTCTTTTAAACACATAAATGAAAATTGAAGATTTTCTCATTTCTGGCTGCAGACGCCATTGCAGACTCCTATGCTGACTCCAGGGCCAGGGATGGCACGGACACCTTTGCTGGGAACCGCCCAGACACCTCTCCCTGGAACGGCTGACAACAGCTCATATTATAACATTCCCACTGGAGGCACTCCAATAACCCCTAACGAGTATTCATCTGCAAATGATAATGGTGGGGTTCCTGAAATGAGAGGTGGAGCAGGAAGACCTAGCCCTTATATGGTAAAATCTTTTAAAAACTCTGTGCCCTGTTGGGTGGATAGTTTCTATGCCTGATTTACTTGATGAATCACTCTGCGGAGAGTTCTATATCTTGTGTGTTTATTTATTTATTAATCTTGAAATTCATATCACGTGGCTTCTCTCTTGCTTTGAAGTAAGCAGATAAAACAATTTCTACTTAATACTTGTCTTCTGGGTTAAGTTGTGGAACTGAGATTTCATATTTTACTCACGCAGCAACCACCTTCAGCTTGGTTGAATCAAAGGCCTCCTCTCGATGTGAATGTTGGTAAGTATAATGCAACAAGCGTTATAAACATGTAAAAACATACTGTGATCAGTCTAAATAAATGTTTAAAAGCAGTATAGTCATTCCTTCTTTTTCATACATTAATTTCTTTTGTAGCTTATGTGGAAGGTCGTGAAGATGGTGAAAGAGGAGGCCCTCATCAGCCTACAACACAGGTGATTATTATTTATGGTACAGGTTGACACTTATTCCTATTCACTACAAGGAGAACTTTAGTGCTTGTACGTTGTTAGGATTTATTAGGCTTCCCATGTTCACAAAGCGTTATTGTTTTGAAAGTTATGTGATGAGTCAGTACATTTCTATTTCGTTGCGCTTTTCTTCTAATAAAATTTTAGAAAATCAGATTTATCAAACACGTATAAAGATTAATGGAGAAATGTCATAGAAAATAGGTAATAAATTTGCGAAGATGATTGAGATAAATTATGTTTGATCTCCTAACTTCAACACTACCTTATTTTCTGTATTAAGTAATTTAAACTCTGCAATCACTCCCAGTTGGAGAAGTGAAAAAGCAAAACATCCAAATGCAAATTTTCATTATTTTCAGAATTAAAAAGTGAATTTTTTTTTTTTTTGTTGAAATTATCGTGGTGAGACCCAAATTGCAGAAGGAACTGATGCTATTCAATGCCATATCCTGTAGTCAAGCTAAATTTGAATGCTGAACGCACTTTTTATTGTAAATATATCTGAAGTTATTTAAATTCAAGCAAAATTGTAAAAATGAAAAATTCCTTGGGAGTTTAACTTGTCAAAGGCCTCACGATCTGCATGTTTATAAACTATCATGTTGCAATAAAGATGATGTTTGATCATCTTACTGATCATAAAGGAGATCGTGGATGTTCTCTAATTTTGCTTTCCAATCACTGACCTCGCCATAATGCAGACAACATCGACATATTTTGATCAGATGTTTATCTAGATGTGCTTTCCAAAAGAAAAACAAACATATAATTTTATTAGGTGAGAAATTGAGATCATGTAAATGGCATACTTGTATTACTACTTGACCAGCACTTCATCACTACGCTATAATTATATAAATTCTATGTATGTGGACTCAGAAGGTTTAGATATGGTAGAATGCATAGGAATGGGATATTGAACGCCAACCTAATTGAAAGAGTTTGAGATAAATGGTCTTCCCAAGTCCAGCTTAATTTTATACTTGAACCAGTGGTCAATTATCTTAGGTGCATTAGCGCTGTTTGATAGTGATGAAACAAAGGAATATATGTTTGAATTTTGTCCCTGAAATTCTGGAATTACTTTAGGATCATAGAAGAAGAAAATGTGATAAAAGAGCATAAGAGGAGGAGAAAGAGATTGCTTTATTCTTACAAGGGTTGGGCAAAATAATTCAACTCAATCTCAAATTTAGAAAGCGATGAACTCCACTAAATTAAAGAGAATATAAGTATTCATATACTTAAAAAATCCCTTCACGGCCACTGAGGTAAGTACCCGGTCGTAAATTTCAGGGCCTAGTGAGATTAGTCAAAGCGCGCGCAATCTGGCCTGAACATCCACGGTTGTAAAAAAAAAGGCTTAAAAATCTTCTAATAAATAAGATAAGGATTTTATATTTGAAATTTAAATAAATAAAACCATTGCCTTCAAAAGGTCGTGGACCAATTATTCTTGTCGATTTTATCCTACAAGTGGACCGATCATAATAAGTAATAAAATGATGAATAGAGTGCTGATTTTTATTTACTTCTTTACTTTGATTAAAACTAGCTTTAATTAAGAAAAACACACAATTAATTGTTTGGTTTTGGTTTTCAACTATATTACTAAAATAAGCAATTAAAATTAAGCAACAAAGTTTTGGAGTTTAATCAAATCACAAAAGATACTAGGATTCTGAATCCACAATTTTTAATCTACTAAAGTCTTTGCTTAGATTGAGAATCAATGATACAATTTTAATTAGAAGCCTCTCTCATAGTCAATCAATTCTATAGTTATATGTGAACCTGATCATCTCTAGTTAAATTACAAACATGTAAGCATGCATTAGTCCACAAAGATATTTACGTAATGATTTTATAGAGTATAATGATCTCTATCGATTATGGGATCCTATATTGTTTACTACCATGTGCTAATTTATACTGAACCTCTTGAAAGCAATATAAATTACAAACACATTCTAATGGCAATCTTGCATCAAAAGGGAATTAGGGAATAATCAATAAGCATAAAAAATTAAATTAAAAAATGAACAATTAATTAATCAAAGAGTTACCAATGTTTCATAATTAATCCTAGCTGCAAAGGTTTTGCTGAACATGATTTGCAAGAACACTGGATAATAATACATCACCGGATTTTTAAAATAATGGAAGAAAAGATGAACCTGACCTATATGTCTTCAAGCGTATTGAAGACAATATTTAAATGAATACATGTGGCCCTTGTCTAATAACTTAAACATTTAGATGAGATGGTGAACATGCTTTATATTAATCTTTTGATTCTTCAAATATTAACTTTTTGTGAAGTTGCACTGGCGTTTTCAACTGTAGAAGGTATGGATCCCACTTAGAAAAATTAATTGCTACTTGTCTTTCACAAATGCAAGAGATGTCTTCATGGCTGACATCTTACAGTTCCTTCTCGAAGAAAAGATCCACCAATGTATAAACACATTTATTTATTCTGTCAATGTAATAATGTCAGTTTGTAATGGTTGCTTGAAATCGTTTTTAGATGAAGAAAATTGTGCATTGGGAGCCATGGTGGTTGTACCCTACACGATGACACGATTGCTTCCCCAAACTGTGCCAAATTGATATAGAATGCTGTTCATTAGTGAGAAAACAGGCTAATGGCTGAAGATGTTGAATATCAACAGAAACAAGGAAAAAGAAGACAAATCCTTTACCCACCAAGGGTGGCAAAATCACTCATTACAATACCAGATTCTTAGAATAAAGGGATTGCACAATTTATAATCCTAAATGATACTTGAAATATAGAATCTTTGACATCTGAAGATTATTTTAGACCGTCTAGGATACCTCGTGAGCGAGTAAACTAATCAATGACCAATGAATTATGGCTATAACCAGGTCCACCAGTTAATAAAAGAACATTGAATCTTGAAACATAATAAATTCTCAAGCAAATAATCCCTACTGCTTTTTAATTCATCATAGGATGCATCTCATTCTGTAAGTGTTAGAACTTGTTCCAAATCAAACTAATCGTCGAATTCTGGAAGTGTCCTTGTTTTTCCACATGTGCAGTATATAGGAGTTGCACACTTCATTTGAGATGGTGATGTCTATAAATAGGACTAGATGCTTGATGTTATATGACTAGAAAGAGAGAAAATGTACCATTTGTGAAAGAAGTAAACTGAAAGTGTAAGAGAGGTTAAACTTTTGCTGCTTAGCCTGTGAAAAAACACAATTTATTGCTTTTGGCTTGTTCATAAGGTTTTAAATTGAATCTCCTATTAAAATAAAATTTTCAGATCACCTTTGGCATTGCTGATATAAGCAATTAAAAATCAAACATACCATTGAAGATTTATTTATAGAATAAGGAAACTCTGATTTAACCAAAATCTTGTGGTAATGACAATTTTAAATGGCTATTACTATGGAGTATTGGAAGATTTTTTTGATTGTTTTCTAGACTGTATTTGCATTGACAGATTTGTAATGCTGGATAAATAAATGCAGGATTTCTTCACATTGCCTTCTGGAAAGCGAAAAAGGGAAGACTTTCCTCCACAATACCATAGTGGTGGATACATTCCGCAGCAAGATGGAGCTGCAGATATTTTATCTGATGACTTGAAGGTAGATCTGTTTCTCTATTTATTAACATAGATTGCCACTGATAAGTTGCAGTAATCATTCATCACCATGCTTATTCAAATAAATAAATAAATAAATAAAACAAAAAATAAAAATTAGACCACTCTTCCTTTCTTCTCTAGCTTGAGTATTGTCCAGCTTTCTGAGCCACCATCTGTTATCATGTCTTTAACTCCTTTTGTCGTCTGCCTCCTCTGATCTCTCTCTTTTTTTTTATTAAATGTCATCTTTTTAATTCTATGTGAGACATAATTTTTTATTCACTTTTTTGTCGAATATTGACCCACGCGGCCACAACAAAAATGTACTTGATTCACTACCTTGATGTGATTATTAAGCTGTCTTTGTTTAAAGCCCCACTCATTATTGACAAATGATCACGCTGTCAGGTGTTGGTCAAATTAATTGATAGCTAATCCTTTATGTGTATTCATTATATAGAACCTACTTCATTGCTATTTGAAATATACAAATTTTCTCTCCTCCGACCAGAAACAGGAAAAGTAAAAAATTGGAGAGACAGGAGAACAAATAAAAACAAGAAAGGAAAAGTAACATCTTTTGTATGTTGTATTTTGGAGGGGCTGTTCCCTTGTTTCATGATCCATGCTAAACATCTTGGGAACACATTGCCGCAAAAGCAAGAATAGAAGAAATGTTAATGTTATCTTGACTCTAGGTTCACAAGGCTGTGGTTTTCATCGAAAGCTCAGTTGTGTATGCTTTTATTTTATTTGAATGGGCTTGATTTTGGTAGTTGTCCTCATGGACTTGTTTTGTGATGAAGAAAATGACAACATATGATTTCCTGTTTGGCGATTATTTTTGAATTGCTCTACTACTAGCCTCTTAAATTGGTTGCCTGACGCTTTGTAACTTCTGCAATGTTCGTCTCTTTTTTATGCACTGTATCTTGGATAATCATTTTATGACCATTGGACAGGTAGTTCAAGGTAACAACAATCGGTATGAGACTCTGAATTCTACCCAACAGCTCTTTGTTCAAGGGGGAATGTTGTCTTCTAGGATTCCTCAGTTTGATGGTCCCATTCCTGATCCATATGACGATGTTCTTTCTACACCCAATGTGAGTTCTGCTTCTTTGTTCTAGATTTATTGCACGCGCGCGCGCGCACACACGTCTATATGTACACATAAATACATTGTTCCCTTTCCATGCACACAAGCGTAGATGAATAGACATTCAGGTTTCACCAACATTTTTTCCTTTCTTTTTTGTGTGTTTGTGGCACATATGTTTGGCCTTTGAGACATCTCGCTTCTAATGTCCCAACCACTTTTTTTCCTGACCACCAGTGTAGTGTTTGTGGTAGGCATCTATTGTTTTCTGAATTATAAACAGGCATCCGTACCATGTTTTGGTCTCTATTAAATGCAGAATGAACTGACATTGTTGAAGTTTAAAGTTTACACCGATATGGGTTATAAGTGCCTTTACTAACGCCTACTCAGTAAGTCTTATTATAACTTGACTTAACCCCATGATTTTCAGGTTTGTTTTAATTGAATATTTGGCATAATATCCAACATCACTTGGTACGCCTTTCCATATTTCTCATTCACCATGTTATTATGGTAATTTGAAATGAAAAATGTGTATAGTTGGGTTGTAACTGAAAATGATGGAAGGTCAGGCAAGGGTGGGTGTTCAAATTAAATTCAGCCTTTAGGTTGTCATCGAACGGCTTGTGGTAATACATGCAAAAGAAATTTTTATAGTTGATTACATGTTTTGTGGAATACTATTTGTTTTCCTGCAAAATAAATATAGAAAACAATTTCACTAAACAAGCATCCAACTGTCTAAATATCAACATGATACATTAACCCTTAAATAAAGTAACTTTGTTGAACTATTTCTTGCTCTTTCAAGTTCAAAATTCTAAATCATTTTATAATTGGTGAGCTTTTAAAGCAGTAAATAGCTCATTCTTGTTTAAGAAAAATCAAAATTGTAGATGCAAGATTCAGAGATCAAAGATTGAAAACTGGGTTACTATATATTCAAAATTGTGTTCTCGGTTATAAATGAGGAATACCATATTACCATTGTGTTTGTACTATATTGATGATAATAGGTTTGTAATGATGCTGATCGACTTTCATTTTTAATAGCTGTGTGTATAACCTAATCTCTGAGGATCTGTCACATATAAGCTACCTGTTTCGTCTTCATGATTTTCTATGAGATAACTTGAAACAAATTTTACTTTCATTTTTTGTTATTGTAATTGTATGTTTTCCGTCTTATTCCATGGGATACATGGTATGCTGCATTATTATCTAAACTAACCTGGGTTTCTAATTCTATCTTTGAAGATATACAATTATCAAGGAGTTGCCAATGAAGACTACAATATAGTGAACACACCTGCACCAAATGGTAAACTGATAATCTAATTTGAACTATATGCTTGTCTTGAAGTATTCATTCGCTACTGCCAATTTCTGCACGTTTTTCAGATATACAAGCAGCCACTCCTGCTCCCCTTCCCCAGAATGACACTCCTGATTTTAGCTCAATTTGACAAGGTAACAACCAGAATAGAGTTTACCTGGTGGTTTTTTCTCCATAGTCTTCTTATTATGATGTCGATCTCATAATTTTGTTGCATTGATCTATGCTGATGAAATTTATTAAATGGATGATCGATATATAGGTGACACGTACCAAAAGCAAGTGGAAATGCACTTTGAAGGACGGCATCATGCACATAAACAATAAAGACATTTTGTTCAATAAGGTGTGACTTGTCTTGTGCTCGTTTCCTTTCCCTCATCGTACATTTTTGCTTACTCATTAACCTGGAAATTGTGAATAATTATTTGGGTGCTATGTTCTTTCTCAGGCAACAGGAGAGTTAGATTTCTGATTTGGTTGGAGATAACTCAGATGATGGGTGTTCATTTCAGAGGAAATCCAAAGATATCATTAACTTTTATATTTTGTCTTTGGTCTATCTATTAAGATATTATGCTTATTGAGAGGTTTACTGGTTGTTCACATGTAAATAGAAAGCTTTATTCTCGCTAAACGATTTCTACATTTTATGATTCTAGATATAATGCAACATTATACATTTTGTCTGTTCACACAAAATTTGATCTATTATCTCCTCGTATTTGATTCATTTTTATTTATTTATTTTTTGTTTCTTGGTGGCTCGATTTTAATTTGCAGGTAGATGAGTATAGAGAAATGCCCCGTGTTTGTGGTACTAGAGGCAGACATATTTCGATTTTAAGTCAAGTTCGTTTTAAATTGCATAAAAAGATTTGCTTAATGCCCTTTCCCGGGACTTAGGGAGATTAGATTTTCGACCCTCGAGACCGCAACTGTTTCATCAATCTTTGTAATTTCGGGCTCTTAAATTTCTACGTCAGGGTGCTCTTTATATTATCGACACGTGTCTATTCATTATTAATTGCAGGCGATCAAATAAAGATAATAGTTATTATGAAAAACGCACCATGAACACTAACGCTACTGATTTTAACATTAAAAACCTAGGAATAAAAACAACAGGACCATAGTATTGCCAAAAATCTCCACGAATAATCGATTGTGGGATACAAGTGTTCATACATTAGGAACACAACATAGCAGCAACTACATAAGAGAACAAAGTTGTTGGCAAACATTACTAGATTCTAAAAGAAAAATACATAAACAACATAATTTATTCTTGACATCAACTTACATGTAAATGTAGCTGAAAGTAACAAAACTCATTCTAAATGGTTGGAAGGAAGCTGATTGTTTGTGTAGTTAGACAGGAATGTGTATTTAGTTGGTCTGGAGAATCCTTCCATGATTTTCTTCTTCTGGAACTGCAGTAACAATCACATCAGTAAAACAATACACGATATTCTTGAGTTTTGTAGATCAAATTTATCACTTGTATGCTTAGTGTTTTTAAGATTGTATGTTCATTTCCACAGATATTCTTAAGAGTTTTTGTCTAAGGCCGCCAAAGTATTTGATGCTACATAGATTAATAATCTCTACTACGAGTGATTTTCTTTGCCATTCCATAATCTGTAATCCCAGAATGAAGTAGAAAACTAAATTACCTGGATGAGCATTGGTGGAAATGGGGATGCGGGGAGATGAGTTTGCACTGGCGTAGAAGGAAAGTTTAGAAGTAGGTGAATTGGTAGAAGAGATAGAATTCTCCTTAGTAAAAGTCGGCTTGGGTGAGACAAGAAGTGTAGGTGATGAATTTGTTGTAGTCTTAGATGTCACAGAGTTGGGGGTTTCTTCGTGGCGAAAAAAAGACGTTACAGCTTCCTTCACCATCTCGACCACACCTGTATCCTTCACATTTTTCCTAGGACTTATTGCATCTGTTATGGCCTGTGAAAGTGCTCTTTCATCTTCTCCAGGTTCCAACTTATTCAAGAAATACTCCTTTACAGAAACACCTTTGTCCCATCTTTGTGGGCTGCCGCTAGATTGCTTTCCAATCACTGAACTTTCACCCAATTTCTTCATATCACCAAGATGAATTGCAGAATCTGAAAGTACATTATGATTTCCAGTTTCTTGTGTTGTAACAGTGAGGCCAGCAAATTTAGAAGTAACTATATGAGTTGGGGTTAACTTCAGAGATACACTTCTACCCATGGTCTTGTTTCTGCTCATGGCTTTGTCATTTTCTTGTTGATCAGTTTCGTGCTTGACGCTGCCTGGCAAATTGTGCTTCTCAGATACCACTGGAATTGCTCGTGGATGCTGCCTCGCATACTCTCGATAAGTCTCAGGTGCCAGTTCCGATTCATACACTGTAAAAAAGAGAAGATTAAGACTTCTTTAGTCTCAATATCATAAATTTACAAGTAAAATTGTTAATGTTATTACTTGGGGCTCCAAGATATTCGGGATCATCATCTTCTTCGTCCAAATCATCCAACCTAACACCCCACGAGGGTGTCGTATTATCGTCATGAAGGTCGTTTCCATGTTTCTTCTTGCCACTGAGAGTGTGTCGCAACTTCTTAGCTCTCTCCTTTACTTTTGCGAGAACGGATTTCTTGTTAGAGTAGTTGCTGTACTCTTCTTGATCATGATTCTTTCCTAATGTGGGTGAGATGCTTGATGACCACAGCAAATCTTCACCTAAGGAACAATATTTTATGCTTGTCAGCTTTGAAAGAACAATCTCATTTAGTAATAACTATATATTCGTTATCAAACACAGTGCAAAAAGTTATTGTTGATAAGAGATGAGCAATCAAGCCCTATATCACCCAAGATCATGCTCGAGAATACGAGATAAGGACACCCTCATGTTCATGTGACGCTCCACTTAAAAAAAAAAAACACAATAATCATAAATCCAAGAATAATGAAATTAAAATTTGTGGCACAAATGTTGAGCAAAACAGTGAATGCTTTCAATGAGATGGTGAGAATTACCATGTAAAAGTTGCTCAAAAGTTGGCGAGGTTTGAGTTTTCGGACTTTTATTATTCTCAGAAGATCTTCGCATCCTATCGGATTGAGACATTTTCTGGGAACTATGGGAAAAGAAGTTTTAGATTATTCTGTTGCTGTTATCTGTCTCTCCATGAATGAAATGGGAAAACTTAAGAGCTAAAAAAATGTGTTAATGCATTTCTTTCGGCTTCTTCAATGGACTACAATTGGAAATATCCATTTATCTTCCAACCAAGAGTTTTGCTTGTTGCAAATTTGTGATAGACCAGGCGCTTCTCTGCTTAGAAGGATAGTCTTCCTCTTTATCCTCCTCATTACATGCCGTTGTGTCCTAACAATATTTTTGGATGGATGTTCCTTGTTTTAAGGATTCGGGGTACTAAAAGCTTCATCTTCATGTCTAGTTTTAGCCGTTACAAAAATTCGAAATTCCTATTTTACAAGTGAAATATTCACAACAATGACAAATTTAGTCCTACTTTCTAATAACATTAACCAATAATTCGAACATATAGTCTACATATCAAAGAAAAGTAACGGTGACTACATATATTAACCAAAACTCGGGGATACACCCTTTTGGTTTTGTACTCTAGATGCAAAAACTAATTTTAGTATGCATGAATATATGCTTATTAAAAAGTAAGTACTAGAAAAAATAAAAATAAAAAATTGTGTCCCATAAAGAGAGAGATACTTGAATTTCACTATATATTGCGATTTAGCATAGATTTGGCGATTGTAAATTTGTAATGCCATACATGACTTGACTCCATATTGGAAACCTCAAAAGAGAAGGAGATTCCACTTCAGCTTTACTTGTTCTAATGACAGAAGCTGATTTAATGGTCACTCTCTCGACTCTTGAGCAATTTGAGAATTTTATGTAATTTAGTCGTTCAAAATATAATTGATGAAGTTCTTCATTATATAATATGGGCTACCTACGGAAATATAAACAAAGAGGAAAACACGATCGAAATCTCATTGACATTCTAGTTTATGTTGAATTCGAGAATGTCAGGAAATAAGATATCAAAGACTTGTTGATTTGCGCACAAATATCGAAAAGTTAGCAAAGAAAGATTTTGGCACATAAAAACAGTAAACACTACATTCGTTTGATGAATGCATTTATATTGAAGTGGCACATATGTTGTTTTAATTATATTTGTTTATTGATTAAATTATAGAGTTTGAAGATTAAGTTTTGATAACTTCTTAATCACTAATTATTGTGATATGATAACTTAATATCTTTAGTCAGTTGATCTTCCATACTAAAATGTGAAGTCATTTATATGAATATGTAAATGTCTTGTTGGAGAACCAAACATTGGATAGCCTAACATAGAGATACACATGGATGGCTATCTTAGTGTCATGTCAATAGTTAATATATAATATTCGATGATGGAATTGGTCTTTTGACTTGTGTTGATTATAAAACCTTAAATGAGGATTTTTCATATTTTGAATATGTTGGATATCGCCTTGTTAGGTAACACTGCACTATTCGGACATGGTGAAAGACCAATAAAGGATAAATCACTTGTAAATAGTAAGAGACGGTATTTTGTCTTTGTCCACTTGAATTGATATGGAAATTCCTGGGCCAAGGTGGAGTTACGACAAGTAATGTTATTTATACATTATAGTGTACCGATTAATTTATAGATTCATGATATGAATTATTAACTATCTTCATTTCCTCCTTCTTTTTGAATAATGTTATTTGAACATCATTGTGTAAATAATTGTATACATATAAATAACATAAAAGATAAAAATATTACAATAACTGAGTTTCTTTTTTGGATTAATCTACTTGTACACCTTGTTTACATAATGATTTACACCCCTCTCAGAGAGGGACCCACGAATATTTTATTGTGTGTGAGCCCTCCTCCATGTGAGGGGGGTGTAAGGCTATGTGTACATCATTATGTACACATAGTATGATCCTTTTTTTTTTTTCTCTCTTCCTCTTCCATGTCATCTACTTGTACACCACTATGTACACAATGATGTACAAATAACATTTGCCTGATTTTTTTCTCTTCATATTGTCAATTGTACGTAATTATGTACAAATAGCGTTACTTTTCAAGTATTATTCCATTATATCAACACAAGGTGTGACTAATAACATGATTAAATCAAGATGGATACTTTTTCCACATCTTGCAATCAATTGGGATAAAGGAATTATACTTTGGTGAGTCAATGTTCAAATTAAACATCCAATCTCATGCAAATTAAAACAGCATTTTGTTGAATTCATAAACTTTTCGAATGCAATTTACCATCATTAAAAATTGTACCGTTCAAATCCACCAGAAAATTCCCATTACCCAACATTTCTTTCATTCTTCATACGATAATTACACAAAGCTCATCAATGCATGCATTCAGAATCGGGCCCTGCAATCAGGAAGAGCTTTGCACGCTCAACTCGTAATTAACGGGTTGGTTCATTCCACTCACTTTGCTTCCAAGCTCATAGCATTCTACACCCGATTCAAACAGCTGGGGCCTGCTCTGAAGCTGTTTGATAAAATTCCTAAATCAAATAAACGTGGTTGGGTTGCTCTTATAGGATCCTATGCTCGCCATGGGTTTTATGAAGAGACTATGTCTATGTTTTTCAAAATGCAGATGGAAGGATTAAGATATGATAAAATTGTTCTCCCCAGTGTTCTTAAAGCCTGTGGACACCTCTCTGATTGGAATACTGGAGAGAAGTTACATGCTGTTGTTTTGAGAAATGAGTTTGAATCTGATGCATTTGTGATGAGTGCACTGATTGATATGTACTCAAAATGTACGATGGTTGAGAAGGCAAAAAGGGTGTTTGATTGCATGGTGGAAATAGATTTGGTGGCTTTGAACGCTATGGTTTCTGGGTATGTTCTAAATGGTGTGATTACAGAAGCATTGGGTTTGGTTGAGGAAATGAAAATATTGGGAATGAAGCCTGATGTTGTGACGTGGAATACGTTGATTGCAGGGTTTTCACGAGCAAAAGATAAATTGGCGGTTGAAAAAATCTTCAGAATTATGGATGATGAGGGGGTTAAACTTGATGTGGTGTCTTGGACATCAGTAATCACTGGTTCGGTACAAAACTTTGAGCACAAGGAGGCATTTCTCACTTTTCGACAAATGTTGAGTGTTGGGTTGTGTCCGACTTCAGAGACAATTAGTGGTATTTTGCCTGCTGCTGCAAATATAGCAGATCTGAGGCGTGGTAAGGAGATACATGGTTATGCCGTGGTAATGGGGTTTGAAGAGAATGTCTATGTAAGGAGCGCGCTCATAGACATGTATGCTAAATGTGGGTTGATTTCTGAAGCAAGGTCATTGTTCCAAAAGATGTCTGAAAGGAATACTGTCACCTGGAACTCCATGGTATTTGGCTATGCAAATCATGGATATTGTAATGAAGCAATCCAACTTTTCAATCAGCTGCTTGGGGAGGAGAAAAGGAAAGTGGACCACTTGACTTTCACTGCTGTTCTCACTGCTTGTAGTCACGCGGGGATGGTTCATCTTGGAGAAAGTTTATTCCAATTGATGCAGGACGAATTTGGGATTGAGCCAAGATTAGAGCATTATGCCTGCATGGTGGATCTTTTGGGAAGAGCTGGGAAGCTTGATCAGGCTTATGATTTGATCGATAAAATGACTATCGAGCCTGATTCATTTGTGTGGGGAGCGTTGTTAGGAGCGTGCAGGCAGCATGGCAACATAAATCTTGCAGAGATAGCCACGAAACATCTAGCTAAACTTGAACCTGAAAGTTCAGGGAGTAATGTGCTGTTGTCAAATTTATATGCCGACTCCAATAAGTGGGGAAATGCCACAAAAGTGAAGAAGATGATGAAGAAAAGGAGACTCAAAAGATTGCGTAGTTTTAGTTGGATAGAAGTGGTATGATACAGAACAATCCATCCCTTGGACAGGAAACTAGATTGGTAGTAGTTAAGCAGGACAGTGAAGCTTCTTCATTTCATAAATTCCTTTGAACTACATTGGTGTATGACAACTGGCCCAGATGAGAAGCTTCAGATTTTATCTCCTAAAACGTCATCCTTGATTATCCACTCAATTATCATTGTTTTGATCAGTTTTGAAGCTAAATCAAGTCCGGATTGTACCGTGGACATGTACTTCAACAGAAACCTTCCACATGGCTAGCATTCTCTATCGCACAACAGAATCGTCAATCTCAATGGTTTCTGTTGTGAGAAGTGTTCCAATGGTAGCATGCAAGGATGTAACTCTATTATAAAAATCCTTTACATAAAAGGAAAATGAACCATGCAACTCGCCATTTTTCTTTCGTTTGTTAATTTACCAAGTTTTTTATTCTTCCTCTCTTATGGTTTCTCTAGTCTCTGCCTTCTTCATAGTACAGCAAATATTCCAGCATTATACAAGTCTTCATCAAGTTCTATTTGTAAGGCCTGTTTGGCAAGCTTCTGCTTATAATGCTCTAGCTTTTCTAGCCAAACAAATATTCTTAAGTCTTAGAAGCAGCTTTTGATATTTTAAAAGTTTTGCCAAACGGACCCTTAGTGTGACATCTCAGAGCACCAATGGAGCTGCTGCGAGGAGACGAGGTGCAGCACAATGCATCGTATACAAATCAAAGAAGTAAAGATGAACATCACGAAATATGGTCAAGAAAGAGTGCCATCTAATTGTTTTATTTCAAACAGTACTGAATGCAAGTAAATAATTCAAATAACTGGTTGATTCTCTCGTTGCATGCTTTTCTAAGCATGATAGAGACTTAACCATCAACATCTCACATTTCAAATTTTTATTCCAAGAGATTAATTAGTCATCTCCACCGAAAACAAGAATCCTTTAACAAAGTCTCCTGCAGTAGCACTGCAGACCACCAGTAATGCTACTTTCATAAAAGCGACAAACTTCATCACACAAATCCGGACATAGTGCTAGATGTTGGCACGGATAATCGCACGTTTACCGCTTCCACCATGATGCTCGTCTCTGCAACGTTCAGACATCCAAAAGAAAAAATTAGAAACGAAAACAAATACAACAAAATATTCATGACACACAGGTCTGATCTCATGTTTCCAATAGATAGAAAAAAATTCTCGCTATTGACGTGACAAGAGAACCTTATTTATCCTGCCTATTGGGGGTAGGAGATCATTTCTAGAACTATACAATACCAATGTTAGTGGCAGCCATCAGGAGGATGAATAGAGCCAGAATTAAATTTTTGGAGCTCCCCATCATGTGTGTGGAAAACTTATTGTTTAAAGCCCATATATATAGATATAGATAAACTGCAGTAAATGCGTGCATTTTCCCCTCCAATTTGTACATTGTTTAAGTTATTCTAACAGTCAGTTTCCAAGAACCAGCCATTCACTTTCTTGATAAGTAAACTCTCTTCATGAAGTTGATACACTAGCAGCTATAGAAATGGCTGCAACTTTGCTATTACAAAAAAAAAAAAGAAATGCTTTTCTCGATGTGTTTGTTAAGTCAAATAATTCGTGGCGCTGTCTCATTTGTAACCCATGTGGCCACTATACAAATTTTAATTAATGTAGTGTCACTTGCACAAGTGTTGTATAACATGACGATATATGCAAATATTCAAACTAGATGGAAGAAATCCTTAATTTGAAGGAAGAAATGCCCAAATTCTCTGGTTTAATCTATATATGATTGGTGCATTTCGACGGTCTAGAACTGGATCAGAATAGTGATGTTTGACTAAAATTAGTGAAAAAAAGAAAGAAAGAAAGAAAATTGCATTAGGGCTTCAAGTGTGATAATCTCATAGTTGATCACACTCGATTTTGACCTTCAGCTCCATATACCCGAAGATTCTTTCCTAGCCCCTCATAATAGCAACCCTTGACCTTGAGGATATTGTCTTGAGATGAGTCATCCCCTCGAGTTGCAGTCTCTAACTTGATATATAATCTGGTGTCTAGAATGACTCATTTCAATCATTTCAAGACTGTTCGTGTTAGTGTACGATATCATAACAAGAAACGGAATAGAGTATCATCTCCCCGAGGATTGCGTTAACAACTAATGAGCATTAATCATCTAAGCTTTTAAGGAAAATCGATCAACAATCTCAACTTACGAAAATTCACTAAATTTGAAGTATTAGAGCACATGATTTCAGCATAGTTAATCCTATTCCACGTGGACGATGCACGGGGCAGCAGCTACGAGCACGTCGCCTTAATTGGAAAGAATCCAAATTCAATACAAGAACTCAAATTTTTTGTCAACTTTTCAAGTTGAACCAAACATGGGATAAATTCTGATACATACGCCAACTCTAATGCATTTGGAGTGCACTAATGCCACAACTCACAAGAAATAAATAAATAATACCATTATGCAATTTTGATAAATCACTCTCCAATTGGTGAAATAGTCAAATATTACGACCTTGTTAGGTGTCAACCCACATTCAGGATTGGGAACTTGAGTAATTCTTGATCAAAATACAAGTTATATCTTTCGTTGTACTTGACCGAACAAGTGCTCAACTAATATTTTCTTAAGAGTGAACGAAAGCACTTAATCGCTTGCTCAATTAAGTAAAACAATGCAATAAATATTCGGGTTGGACTAAACGCGTGTTTCAAACAATTCAATTTCAAAGGTGTTATTTGGGCAAAACTTTGGGACAATGGGCGCGTTCGCTTGGATGCTCCCATGTGTTCTTATTTTGGCAGTACAAGATGAAATTAATTCTCACTCATTGATTCATTGTCATATCAAAGAACATCCAAACTCACGAATAGTCCACTATATACTTTCATCATTCATATTCATATTCATATTCATAAAATAATAAATAAATAAAGAAAATCGTGTTGATTATACCGAATTTTGGAGCAACCATAATTTTAGATTCACCATGGATATATACTATTGTTGGGATCTTAACTCTTCTCGATTCTATATGCCCGCCTCCTCGAATTAAATAAGGAACCCATTATAGCAGGAATCAAAGTCAAGTTGCCCGTTTGAGCCCTCATTTTGTTTTCCAAACTCATTATCAAATACCAACCAAACATTATCCCAATAAAATATAATTTGCACAAAAATTCAAAATTTTTCCCTACTTTTTAACCACAAAAGCACTATCACAAAACCCATTTTTTGTGAAAAATGGGGCTCAAAAGGGGGCGAAATTAATGATTAAAAATAAAGTTTGAAAAGCTTTTTAGCAAAACGTAACTCTGCCAAATGAGCTCTAAAAAATGGGGCTCAAAAGGGGGGCGAAATTTATGGTTAAAAATAAAGTTTGATAAACTTTTTAGCAAAACGTAACTTTGCCAAATGAGCTCTAAATGCAATGTCAAGTTCTTGATTTCATGAGGGGGGTTGATCCACCACTACTAGTAGCTTTAACTGAGTAAATAAAGAACATATGAAAGGTGCCAGAAGTGAATGCAAAACCTACCAATCAAACAAGACACAAAACACTAACAACTAGCACGAAAACGTGTGTAAAGTCTTGTTCTCAATAAATTAGGGTCAGATGCATAATACAAAGAGCAATAACGTCTAAAATTCAGCAATCACAATGGCAATTTGTCGTTTCTCAATAAATTTGGGTCTGATGCATTATATAAAGAGCAATAACGACTAAAATTGAGCAATCACAATGGCAATTTGTCGTTTCTCAATAAATTAGTGGCACAAAGAAGCAAAAACACTGGCTTAAAGAGAAGGGTAGCTTGTAAAGATGCGAGGAGAGTAATTTATATAACATAAAATTTCATCAACAAATAAACATACAGGCTAAATATATACTAGCAACTGACAGCAAGCAAGTGCGACTTATTTGAGGGAGCTTCCACTTTAATACCTTGTGAACTGAGAGACTTTTAGGTATCCAATTCAGGTACAATCTCAATTATTTCTGTTCCAATACCTCAAAGTATCTTCAATGATTTCTTTCTAGTCCCCTTGGAACACCCAACAGATCCAGAGCAGCAAATCAAGCTTCTTAGGAGTTGTAGTTCATGAGGCCAACTCTTTAATTAGAATAAAAGAACAGTTACGTAAGATATCCAAAATTGAATCTAAAAGAGATCTCAAACTAGCAAAATATTTAATTTCTCAAAACAACCTATTTTTCCGATACTTACCTCACCTTTTCTCTTTTAAGTTACATTAAGGTTTTATATTTTAGACTCGGAACATTTATAAGCCGTCAAAGGAATTTGAAATTTCAACGAAGGGGATTCACAGTTCATATGATAAAATCCCAAAACTGTGAGGTAAGATGCTTTACATCAAGATGGATGAGTTTTACTTTGTTTTGCACCATTATTGCACCACTAAACAGGAAAGAAGAACTACTTCATTTCACAAGCTAACAACCCCTAAACATCTGTTTCTTACTCAGGAACCAAACTGAAATTCTATAGAATTCCAAACAACAAAGAGTTGGAACTCTTGGACATCGAAATTTTTCTACTCTTACTGATTGATCTTGATTAATTTGAGTGGATATTTCTGATATAATGGATTGAACCACATGTATTTTGCACTTCTCAGGAATCTGGATCCTGTCCATGATCCCACCAAACAAAAGGCTTCTAGAAAAGTCTTTGTAATTTAATGATCACAGAATGAGAGTCAAGGGAGAGAAGAAAACTAAAAACAGTACAACTCATAAAGATAAATAAATATTCAGCTTTTATAAGCATAATGCACGTTATAGGATGTAAATGAATCCAACATGTGAATCGACACAAGTTGAAACTAAAGGAGGTAGAAAGATAGCACAATTTCAAATGAAAAAACATTGATAAAACAGAATAACCAGAACTCAATAAATAGTTAGTAAATGCTGCAACTATATTCAAGGAAGAGGAACATATTACCAGAAGGCCACATTGAGACGATCGCAATCTGGATTAGGAATACGTGTACTCTTTATAACATGGTTGATTAACTTAAAAGGAAACTTCATGGGCATTTAATTCTGTTAGGTTCTGACATTTCAGTAATGGTATACATCTCAAGATCTGATTTATTTGTGGTTCGATCAATTGTCAGATAATTGGTTATTCTAACAAAAGAAAAACATAATCATACAAATGCTTATATGATGTGTGATTGAAAGACTTCAAAGGAAATAATCAGATTTATAAAAATATTTGAAATTAGTTATAATCAGTTTCCATGAAGATAGGTTGAATATGAATTAACTAGTCAACTGTTTATATTGCTGATGATGATTTTCTGATCTATATGACAAAAACCATATAACAAATTATAAACCATGCAATACTAGATATGCCATTAGCTATTGAAATACCAAATGTGAATTAATAAGCTTGTTATCCAAACAAAGCCTGAAGGTAACAACAATTTGTATACATACTTGAAGTGACATCTGAGTAAATGCAGGAAACTTTTCGAAGAGTCTTACCACTATATACTTGAAAATAAAGCAAAATTGATGCTATTGACAAAACAATGCCCTAGAAAATTAAAAGTGACCCCAAATTGTAAGTTGTTGATCCTGATGAAATTGATATACAGAGTTTCATTTTGTCTTACTTTCCAACAAAAAAAGGGAATAATAAACAGGGTAAAATATTAGCACCACTGTGAATGAAAGAGCAATAACAGATTAGTCAAATAGAAGTATCATCTATTTGGTAATGGACTTCGATAATTATGCAATGAATATCAAAAAATTTTAACCTCGCCTTTGAGTCCATAATAAACGACAATCAAAATCATTTTAAACGACAATCAATATCAATTTTATGTGTCCTATTTTGCGCAATATTACAACCCTATCTTGAATCGTCTAACATCCAATGGGATCCAATATAATGCAGACAAAAGTAGATCAGATGATAACAAAGATTGAATTTCAACAAGCCATATCATGGCTAAATTAAACAAACCCTAAAACGTAATTATACCATAAAAGAAAGAGGCTTGTGTTTATCAATAAAGTAGAGCACATCCTGAATGAAGCAAAAATAAGATAATTTGTTCACACCTAAATAAAAAAATCAAGCAATGATAAGTATTTCAAAAGTCAATCAATTTCTTGAAAATATAAGGATATAAAGATACAACGAATCATGAAAAGAGGTCAATATAATTAAACTTGATTGCATCAACCACTACATTACAACGGAAACCGTTTATATCTAATTGTCATGTTTAATTCCTTTTTTCCCTCCTCTCTTTTATACTCTGGCGATAGGATTTATCTAATTTGACAAAACAGACTATTACATTTCCTCATTCAATCTTTTCACTAACAAAGTCTAAATAATATCTCTCACTTGAATGAGATCAGTATTTCTTAGGTAATTCTGAACATTTGGAAAAGAATTATATAGGATGAACACAACTATTTATTCACGTAGAACCGCAAATCAGAAACGAGTAATTCTGACAAAATGCCTAGCTGTAGTTCACCTAGTCACATTTCCAATGAATTGAATCCAGTACCAGTCCCTGTTTTTTCAACCCAATATCAGCAAAGGAAACTCGTAAACAGTCACTGCAAGAGTTCAAACATTTATGGTAAACAAGAAAGTATATTAGTATGAAAATTGCTCACCTATTTTTCCACTATCCAATGTGGACTCAGCAAAGATTTATTTATCATTTGGAGTAGCATGGTGCAGGTAACCATTGTACTTATTTCCAGACCAGTCCCTCTGTTGCTGCATCATACTATTATACTGCTGCGGATAATGATTATGACTAGAATGAGCCTCGTAACCACTGTTTGCAGCTGGGGAATTCATATTTCCTCCTGGCATTCCTACATGTCCGTGTGCTGCCATCACCATCATTGGCATGGGCATGAGTTGCTGTGGAGGTGGATATGGCATCGGAATAGGCATCCCCACATGATTCTCACTGTTCCCACCACCACGACTCCCATTTGCGGCAACATTCCCATGACCACCACAACTGGATGAATCATTAAAGCTCTGTGGCGGCACTGGTGTTGACGCGAACAAATGATCCGATGCTGAGGGTCCCTCGTTCGACAACCCCTGCATCCTCTTGACATAAAGCCTATACTTCTGCAAATGACTTGCCACGTTTTCCCGAGTCAGCCCTTCTACGTTCATAAGCTGCATAATCGTCTTCGGCACCGCGTTCTTCAATCCCAAGTGCGCCACAACATCCACAAAACGCTTATGGAGCTGCGGAGTCCAAACAAGCCTCGGCCTCTTCAAAGTCTTCGCCGCCGCTGACTGGTCATCCGTACAGTTGTCGGTGGTGGCGGTTTGAGTAACAGAGTCAGCCTCCTCAGGCTCCATCCTCCTGAATTTCTTCGGGTCGGATCCTTCTTGGGTTGGGTACGCGTCTTCCATCTCCGGCTCCTCCATGACGTGGTCTTGCACGGAGGGCGCATTTTGATAATTATGATTGTTTAAAAACGGCTTGAAGGTGGAGGAAGGGTGGGAATCGCCACCGCAAAGGGAAGACACGGTGTTCTTAGAAGCTCGGTTGACATCGAGCATGGTTCGAGTAGGCTCCGGCGAGATTTTGAAAGCCGATGCCAGCTCCGGCGGGATCAGAGCCTGGTACAACGGTGTCAGATCGTCGACGGTCGGCAGGCCGGCCTCCCACTCCGTCATCCTATCCTCAACTCCGTCAATTGTAACTTCCTCCCCCATGGAATTAATCGATTAAGTGATTTTTTTTCAGAAAATTGAAGAAATCGAATTGAGTGAATTGTGAAATTCGAAAGAGGGGAATTTATTTAGGGAAAGAACTTCGTAGAATAACAAGAAGAAATAAATGAGTTTTTTTTTTTTTTTTCGAGGAAAATAAATAGTAAATAAAAGGGATGAAAAAGTGCAAAATTGATTCTAAAAGGGGTGCCAACGTGGAAGCTTTATCAAGATATTTTTGTTTTGATCTCTATCTATCTGACTCCTCTCGTATCTTCTTCTAAATTTCTACTCGCTGGCCGCTCTCTCTCTCTCTCTCTCTCTCTCTCACACACACACACAAATAGCATCGAGATATTAAATTATTTTGGAAAGAAGAATGATGTTATTTATCTTTACGATGATAAAATATATGAAGGTAGGGACGAGAAGTGGGGCAATTTTACGAGTCGTTTGTCAGCTCACAAGAATCGATTCACGAGTCGGCTCGTCATATTAAATAAAAATGTAATTTCGATAAACTAAAAAAATAAATTATTGATTGACTACTAGCGGCTAACGACTAAATTTGACTTACCGCACCATGGGTCAAGCTTGTTGGGTGAGTAGCGACTCGGATCGCTCCATCTAACACTCCTCTGCATTCAGACCGATCAGTTAAGGAACTCCAAATCGAAGAGTTTATATTGCATATTGGTCCCTCACTTTTGACTCCATGTATAATGACTCGGCAACATAATTAGTAATTTCAATTGGTGGACTTGTGCATAAAATTTGAGTAATACTATTTATCAGTATAATAGTAAATATCTATGATGTGACAACTTATGTTGAATAATAAAATATGACAGTTCAATTTTTATAAGAGAAAAAGGGAATTGAACTGTCATATCTCAATATTCCACATAAATTGTCAGATCATCAATATTTTTCATCATTATAATGATAAATAACATTATTCGTAAAACTTCAATTCAATTCACTTGACAAGAAGATTCAGCCATGTACTCCTCTCTGTTATTATCTTAAAATTACATAATGTCAAATGAATATGTTTTAGGCGGCGGACATCAAATTTCCATTACAATATCACTTTTAACTTCATGGCCAAGAATGGCAATATGATAACCATTAGACATGGACCCCCTTCAATTTTATACACATTTATATATTTGCACCATGTTTGGTTTGAATAAAAATCAATTATTTAATAAATTTTAATAAAAGTCGATAGAATGGAAGGTGTGATTGAAAAAATGTGAATCTCATAAAATGTGAAATTAAAAGTAATAGTTCACTTTGACTTAAATTTTAATCAATATTTTTTTAGCTGATCAAGCAGGGGTTAATATAGGCGCACACATTATCTGTGCATCACTCATCTGCTTATTTTTGGACTATGGTTTTCGAATGTCAGGAAGATTCAAATCATACTTCCAAACGTATCTTTCGAATTGAAATGGATAAATAATTAATTCAAATAATCGAGTCAGATATCTACCCGAATTAGGATTTAAAATAGAATTTATTTTCCACTGATTTCAATGTCAAATCATCAAAAAATTTATTTGATGTCAAGTGGATCCCACTTGATGTGACAAATTTTCGAAATAGTGAAACCTCCACTAACATTACGTATCCAGTGATACTACTTTTTGTGTTGATCCTGATAATCGTTTTAATTGTGTCTTGTACCTCAACGTGTTCTTCTCGAGTAAGTGAACCTCCTAATCATCTTTCATGATTAAACAACAATAAATGTTACGTAATAGATCTCGAAACCAAAGTGCACTACAAAAGTGGGTTTAGCACTAACATATTGATTGATCGCACCAATCATACTCTATTTTAAATCTAAATTAACAAAAAAATAAAATAAAATAAAATTATATTAGTAAGAAGTTTTATTGTAAGTTATTTATTTTAAAAACTAATATAGTCCACGTGGTCATGTAACAAGGCATGTGATTGGCCAACCACATATGGTCCTTGTGCCCAACAACTAGACAGTATGCACGTTCAAAAGGGAAGTGTCCCTTCTAATTAATTTAAGGATAATGCCTCCTGTACAAAATGGTGTACAAAGGGGTGTCCAAAATGGCCATCCCCTATGGGAGGGTCGACTGTGGGGACAAATGGGCCCCAGTCGACCCTCCAATAGGGGGTGGCCAAGTGGCCATTTTTGGACACCCCTTTGTACACCATTTTGTACCTATAGCACAACCCTTAATTTAATGCGACTACAAATTTCACCTCATGGCTCCAACTCCAACATTTTTTTTCTTTTTTCTTGTAATTGCTTTCCCTTATGCCCCATTTGATAGGCCTTATTTTCTAGAAAAAATGGAAAATAAATTCCTTTCCCACTTTTTAACATGTTTGATAGCTTTAATTTTCCAAGTAAAATTTTTTCCTTATTTTCCTTCACGCGCCTGATTTTCCACCAAATGAAGGAAAATGATTTCCTCTCCTTCAGCTGGGATTGCATTTTCCACCCAAGGTGGAAATCACAAAACCTTTGTGCCCGATTGTTGGTGGAGGAAAATAGTAATCTGAGGGGCGATGGGGTCTTCCACCACCGCCAGACGATGGTGACGACAACGGCGGAGAATACCTACCTATGGGTGGCGAAGGGGGGAGGGTGGAGACCCAGAATTTTCGACTTTGATCTCTGATTTTTTCTTTGACCTTTTAGAATCCTTAACATCACTCCCTTTCTCCATAGCAGGGCGTTTTGCGGTGATGGACTTGGTCGGAGATGTGGGTCCGGAATCACTAGGCTTGAACTTGAGCTTTCTAGTAGCGGTTTCCTGTGGGTCCTCCATGGACTTGGAGGCAGGAAGAAGACAAATTAAGTTTCTTAAGGACGGGTGCAGTAGAGGGCTTTTTGGC